TGTGCCTGGCTAAGACCCGTACCCAGATAACCTCGGCGTCAATCACCTGTACGCCTGCCTGAGCTGCCTGACCTCGAGTCAACTGCTCGCCGGTCCCACCCCAGCCCGGGCGACGCTCTCTGTTCCCCTGCGTCCACCTGAGCAGCCCTTCAACGTCGCAGCCCTGCCTGCCATTGGACCGCTGCGGGGGAATACTCATGTCTCAAACTTTGTTTCCATGTACTTTCCCCCCTGCTTGGAGCCCCTCTAGCTTTCGCCATCTGCTCCGGAGCAGACCTCCAGGGCTAGTCTTGCCTCACTAGCGATCGACGGCCGTTCCTTCCAATTCTCCTTGTCCATCGCTGACCATCTCTAACCTGAACAAGGCGCCGCATCTTTGTCATGCCGCATGGAAGCTCGAGCATAGCACGCGCAATGCCTTTCATGCGTCGGCAGCCCGCTCCCGGCCTTGTCGTCCGCACCCAGCGAATGCGGCTGTAGATCCCTCAGCCTCATCTCACTTGCGAGGAAACAATTGCTTCCATTATGCGGCCTCGCGTCGCTGCGCCGGCCTTTCAGGTACAATTAATAGCGCGTTTCAGCGCTTGCCAATCCTACGCGAACTACCCGTCCCTGCTCTTGGCACAGGTGACGAAGCTGCAGCACTCTGCGGAAACCGCAGTCAGAGAGGGGCATCGACTGCAAGGCCGCCTCCACTACACGCGCAAAACTACCGAGCCCCTTGACCTTGCTCCTTTCCTGCAGACGCATCAAGCCACCGCAGTTGTGCGAGAGAACGTGATTGTTTCTAGCGCCCTCGACCAGCGCCATGTGGCTTTGGCTCGCCATCCACCACACCCCCTTTCTGCGAAATTGTCAAAACTCCTAAACCATCCATGAGTCTAGCATAGTCCCTCCCGCGGACGGTACCCTACTCCGGAATATATGCTCGCAATTCTCCTACATGTCCACTACCTGCTGGAACTTGCCATCAGACTACATAGACGCACTGTGCCTGAGTGATTCATGTCCACGCGCGCAGGCGCACTACGTCCCAACTAGGAAGTCCCATCGCCTAGACTCTCCCGCCACTTTTTATCCGTCTTTACATCAACAAGCATCATTGTACGTTGATTACATGCACCTCCAAGGTTGTAGCTAGGAATCAAACTTGAATGTGAAGCAAATGGTCCAAGACAGACAACCTTGGAAGTTGTGACCCCCACGTGACCGGCAGCTGACGCCCTTCGAGACGAGGCGGCATGTCAATACTATGCGTGCTATCAACTGAGCACATCCTGCGTGCTTCCTCAGCCAGTAAATGACCCCGCGATGAGCAACGTGTTGTGACTGCGCATCGTGCAACCTTGAAAATACTGAGACATGTCGTCATTATCTCCAACGTCGCTTCCTCATTGAGCGTCCATGCCTTATCTTCATATATTCCAACACTCACTCTGCTTCGCCTTGCCCGCCTCATTCCACTCGCCAAACAACGGCAACAGTGCAGACGGAGATGAGCGGAGATGTCAACCACTATCGTACAGCGGCCTATCTCCAAGCAAGAGTCATAGCAACATCTCGAGCACATCCGCAGAATCTGCCGTCGCTACTGCCTTCCCACGGTAGTAACTGAGCCCCGAGTAGGCCGGCAACACGGTAAGTGCGATGATGCCCAACCGCTTGCATACTAATTTTGTTATCCACAATGTAATAGCAGCCGGCTATTATAGATACTAAATTCGCGACTACGGGACCCATATGCACGACATGCCTTGTTTCTTCGCGGATCATGTCCCCACTGCGGAGTTTGTCGTCGATTGTTGGAGATAAGCTGGCTGCTATAGTCACCGATATCATTGTGTATGGCTCTACGCATCGAGCTCTATCCCGAGGTCATGAAACAGGTACTTGTCCAGTACTATCCAGCACGAAAAGCGCGGCTGATGCCATTGTCTCTCGTTCTTTCCGCACTAGGACCGAAGGAAGATCAAGACCCACTATCGTTACAAGTTCCAAGTTGGTACACCCGAGCCACGAGTTCTTCAAGATACCATGGCTAGCTGCATACCGCCAACCCCGGTCCACCGTTCGTCTCAGAATCTGCAAAGCCGGCACGTGGCCGGGAAGTGGAGATGCTCGACGCAGTCTTGTCGTGAGTTCAAGACAGGAAGGCAAGGCCACTCTATACTCTGCTTGCCAGTTTTCGACGTTGCAAAGGGTGCGGGGTAACACCAGCAATAAAGTTATCAGCGCTGTGTAGCTTTCCACTACTCCGAGACATTCACCGTCTTACACGTGCGCTACACGCGAGATGTCGGCTACTGCAACCTGGCCCCACGTCGAACTTTATTCTGACTGCATTCGGACACCGAGTCAAGATTACCACGCGCCGTGTTCGCTTCTCTTCCACTTCGCCACACACATTCTGTCCTTTTTTGACAAATTGTCATTCCATTACGGCCCGTTTCCAATGCACCCGAGCCGTTGACTCCGCTCTGTGGTCCTTCACTTACGGGAAACTGTTAGGGCCCGCGACGGGATGCGAGCAACCAATCGAGCATCTTCCAAACCGGGATGATAGCAACGGCTATCGGGTACGTCAAACTGCGATCGACTATGAACTCAATCGAGCTCGGTCTCATGCGAGTAGACATACCGTCGATTTCCTGTAACGTCCGCTATAGCTACGCCGCCTACGTGGCCTTCTGACACTTTGAACGTCGAGCAAAATGTGGCATGAGGCTGTAACATCTGCTACACTACCAGCCGGTCAATACTTTCTAAAGTTAGCTCTTCTAGAACAAGCCACTTACATTCTTGGATACGTCGGACACATCTCGGCTCGACCCGCTTAGAGACCTGACATTGCAGGACTACCCCCCTCAACATACTTCTCAAACCTCAACGGTAAAACCGTTGGATTCATAACCTTTTGCGGTTGCATGCAGCCAGAACAAGGCCGAGTTCTAGATTGATGCATGAACACAGGGAGTTATCCATCTTAGGCTGCGGCTGCGGATGCAATGTCGAAACCCTCCGCGCAGTGCGGTCAAATCTACTGCTACCAGGATCTGCTTACATCACTAGATGCGTACATCACGCTCTTCAGATTACTAAAAGATGTAAGAGATGCGCTACAGATTATACGTACACGTCGGAACCATGAATGCGACGACGACCTAGCATCACCGGCACCTTGACGATCGAAACCAACTTCAACATGCATACAACATCAGACCACCATATCGACAATGAACCAAATCTTTGCTTGCTATGGATACTACGTTTTCACCACCTGAATTGTCAGACATCGTCCAGGCCTGCCATCAGCACGAGCACGGACACACCACACCATCCGCTTAAACTCCCGTCAACCGTCTCCATCCACCAACCCACGACCAAAATATCTCACATACCGTACCCACCTACTCCAATCTCCAAGCCTCCAAATCTCTTCTCCCTTAGCTCGCCTTCGCAACCGCGTTCTCATGGCCGACCGTTTTTTTTTCTGCTCCCCGTCGATCCAACGTTGGTTCCTGCCCAAAATGCACGCAAGCCAACGACGAGTCATGCAACTGCATCTCGCGTCTGCAGCCCGCTGAACGTGATCACACCGCTGCGTCCCCGCACAGCCGCAGTAGACTCGGTGCGAACAGTATGATTACAGTAAGGTGTTGACATTTTTATGCGAACTAATTCCTTTGCCGCGAGGTGCATGAAACATGTATAATTGATCGGTTATTGCATAACGGTTTTTATGTATTGTAGATCCGGGGTACTTGATCGAAGGGGACGACGATCGAAGAATATGGAAGTTGTTTTGGAATGATTGGAAGGTGAGGGGTTGGATTGTTGTGTTGATACGACGCTCGACGGGCCGTTCTGAAGGTTGTCGCATTATATACAGGCGACGATCGAAGATTTGTAAATGTGGTATAGTAGGCAGATATACAATATCTCGCAATACACACTCAACGTCAGAACTTCAGATCGCGAAAAAACAAACGACAATGTTCAACACTCTAGAGTGAAAGATGTATGTCAAACAAACTTCGCCGACGATTTCGGCGTAGTCTTTCTTTCTACCTTATGATACAGTTCCGATAAAGTCTTCCAGCGGCAATCTTCCTCGATGTTTATTCAGCGATCTTGGTCTGCGCAGCCATACGAATAAGATAACGAAATCAGCATCATACCCTGCTCAGTGTTTCAATCTGCAGAGGCTTATCCTGATTCGTAGGAAAATCCGAGAATGACACGGACAGGAATGTTATAGATTAAGCCAATTGATCTAGGGTGCTTGGCTTGGTTTGCCTGGGGTTCGGAAGCACGAGAGCTTGATTGAAAAGCTTAGCAAACTTAAGCCCTAGCTTAATTAGATTGGATGTATCGATGCGAAGACGGCTGAGAGGGGAGAAAGAAGGGAAAGAAGGGAAAGAAGATAGGCCTCTCTAACAGCCACACCCTCTTATATTCGCTTTTCCGTTTTCTTCGCTCTACATCATACGAATGAAAGCTGGACAGATGCACTACCGTCTACATTAGCTCACGTATATATAACTTGTCAAATCTCAGCACATTGTAGGTTCATTAGTGTTTGATCCCATCATCTGATATCTTCTACATGTAGGCATGTAGACATGCAGTCAGTCTATAATTTCAGGTCGGCTTGGTTTCTAACATCTCTGGTCCTCTTATTACGGGTCGTCGATGTGCTAGTCTTGCACTATTGTCCTGTATCTAACGGATGGCAGCTGGGACTGTTTTCTCAGTAACATTGGCACGAAAGACACTTATCTTATCATAGCTAAGAGAGAAGGTCTAAGTGTTTCATCTTTGAAATGTGAGGACAGACTAGACTGCGTAAGTAACGAACTTGAGGCCGGACTTCCCGATGAGTGTCTCTACAGACATGGTTGGTATAATGCGAGCTCTAAGCTAAGTTCATAGAGTTACTTGCTTTCACTCAAGATCTCAAGCTCCATCGACATAATGACCAACTCCCACACAGATCTACCTTATGCAGAGGATTTGCGAACCTTCTTCTTCTTCTTGTTTGGGGGCTCATTCTCTTCAACATGGCCGAGAAGAAGAGACCGATACAATTTGAACATCCTGCCAGTGATAGGGAAGACAGTGATGCTACCTTTCCAGGTTTTGACAAACGTGCGATATCCATAAGGCAAAATTTCATTGATCTTTTCGATGGCCCAGATTGGAGTGAGGTTTTCGAAATCGACGTCTCCGTAGAGCTCATTGAAGTCGACAACGAATTGGCGAACCGCAGTTTGCGTATCTAGGTCAAGAGAGTTAATCATTGTACGAGCGCGGGCATTCAGGACGCTGTGTGGTGTCTCGGTGTTAACATAGCTGATAACGGCCTTCAACGCGGATGCTGGCGAGTTGGTGTCTCTGACTTCCTTCCACACCGATGGTTCGACAGCAGCGTGGAGGAGGGCCAAAGCCGAGCGAGAGGCCACGTCATAGTCCTTCCATTCTTGAAGACGAGTGTTGTAAACGGCGAGGTGGTACTCCCAACCCTGCGGAACAAAGTGCTCCTCTCCTTGATCGGCGGCTTGTCGAGGTTCGAGGAAGGCGGGTGGAGTGGGCTTTACGACTACTTCAGCGTTGTACTTGAAGTATTCAGCGTAACCGTGGATCTTCGCGATGTCTTTGAAAGACTGGAACCAGTCTGTGAAGTTCTCGGGTCCAGAGAGCTTTGTGAAGTTGTCGCCTAGGGCGGTGGTTGGATCGTTGATGGCGGCCATAGTTGACTGTGGTAGTGGGTTGGATTGAGACTGCGGCGAACTCGTGCGCTTATAGCCTGCTGTGGGCTTGTAGTGAGTAGCTTGGTCTGGTGACCATTGCTGCGAATGTGGTTAGTCGCGTGAGTATGACGCAAGTCCTGGCGGTGTTCAGCGTCCAAGTGAAGGTTCAGTGGACAGGCTATACGATGTAGGATGGGATGAGTGCCCTTCTGGACTGCTTTGACAGGCATACTGTGTAGAAAGCTAGTAGAAGAAGGGTCGAGTTCCCAAGCGGCAAATGGAGAGGCAATATAGGTAGATCATATGTATTTCAGAACATAAGGAGAAAGTGGTATTATCCTAACAAAACAACAAATTACAAGCAGACATACACAAGAGCCATCTGCCCATCTGCCTAGCGCAATGGAAGAAAAAGACAGCTCCCTTGGAGAATACAATCCTCCCAGAAAGCGCTTTTCCACCACTACCGATTCTTAGGCTCTGATACCCACATACTGGAGTTGCTTCCATCCATCCATCTTTGTTCGGGTATGATCCACAACGACGACAACAACTCTTCTCATTGAAACATAAGGAATGACCCAAAGTACACAAGGGGGGTCGTCGGACAAGGGGGTGTTCTCAAGGAGAGTAACGAAGTGCAAAGCAAGAAAATAGGGTCCCTAGCCGTTCAACGCCGGGGGTAGGTAACATGGTAAGGAAAAGGGCATCAATGCTAATCTCGTTTCGATCGCTAATGATAAAAACAAAGTAGAGGAAGAAGGGCGGCAAGCCGCAGCGACGACTAGCTTATCGCATGTTGTGGCGTACAGCGGTGTTGGGGCGCTGCAGTGGTTGCGCGTACTTGGACACGGGAACCATGTGGGCATCGAGATCGTTGTTACCGTCTACGTCGTCATCGTCTTCGATGATGCGGGTTGGTACGACGGGGATGTCGTGCGATCGGTGCTGTAGGCTCGTCCGGTCCGGTGTTGTGCTGGCACTGGCCATGGACATGGAGGTGCTAGACCGATGGCTTAGATCGGGCGTTGGGGGGATGCTTGAACCCCGGTTGGGGCGGAGCATGTTGTCCTCGTCGCCGTATTCGCTGCCAATAGTCGATTGCGCGCGGCCTCCGGCCGATGACATCTGACCAACGCTGCTGCGGCGGTCGCTGTGGTTGTCGCCATCTTCTGTGTCAGCACGCTGTGCGAGCTGAAGACCCTCAACAGCTGCAGCGCACTGCTCTGAGATGTTGCGGATGATGTAGGCGATGGCGTCGGTCTTGTCCCGAAGGACACGGTCGGCGACGTCGACCATTGATTGATTTGAGAAGCGCTTGGAGTTGCGTGCGGGGTTGTTGAATAGACGCTGCTCCATGTCGGGTGTAACGTCCTCACCATCGAGGTGCTTGCCCTGCGCAGTGCTGGCTCTTGACTCCTGGCGGCTCTCAACACCGGCTACGCCGCGGATGGTACCGACCTCAGACTTGTCCTTGATCGAGTGACGGGGGGTTTGATGGCGCGACGCCGCGTCTTCAAACTCCTCCTGGTCCTCATCCTCCTCAGGCACGTCTTCGAAGCCGGCATCCATATAGTTGGACATGTCATCCTGGTTAAGGGACTTGACGATGTGCTCCATGTGGTGGGTCTGACCCTCGATAAGAGCACGAAGGTGGAGCACAACCCGTTGCGCCTCGTCGCGCTGGCGCTGGATGGCACCGTTGGTATGTTGCAGAGCACCAAGCTCCTTCTTGTTCTTCTTCCTCTCGCGCTCGAGCTCCTCAGCAATCTCTTGCTGTAGTACAAGGGCTTCGAGGGCGTCGTCACGTTGCTTCTCAGTACCGGACAGACGGACAGTAAGCCTTGCGGCATCATCCTTCTGTTGGTCGATAAGGCTTGTAAGACGACGGTTCTCACGCTTGTGGTTCTCGATCTTGACCTTGAGATCCTGGGTCTCCTTGGTGAGTTGCTCGGCGAAAGCCTGGAACTTGAGGAACTGTTGCTTCCAACTCTCAAGCTCCTCGACCAAGAAGTTGTTGCGCTTTGTAACCTTGCCAAGCTCGCTGTCGAGGCGCTGCTTGAGGTTGATGAAGTCTGTCCAGGCTTCTTGTGCGTCACGGGAGTACTGGTTGCGCTCGCGAACGATCTCGTTGAGGTGGCGCATCGACACCTTGGTCATCAGCGGCTTCTTGACGGAGCCACCGAAGATAGCCTTAACGCCAGTGTTGCGGCCCTGCGGTGATGTTAGCGTGTGGTACGATGAGTCTATGCGCAACCGGATACATACCAATTTCTCACACACGTGGTCCATGACCGACATGACAGCATCCTGGGTCCACCAGTCGGGGTCCTGGATGCTCTCAACCTCACCACGCATCACAATGATTTGACCCGCGGGGATGAGCTTGCCGCCCCCGTACGCCGAGCGCAGGTGCTGTGGAACTCCGGTTGGTGAAACCTCACCGTTGAGAGCCTGAGTCAGACGCTGGATCATCTTGGTCCTCTGGCCGGCGGTAAGAGCGGTAGGCGGGCTTGAAGTCAGAACAAAATTCCGGTCCAAGTCGACGACAAGGGCATCTGTGGGAGCCGTGAAGAGCGATCGGCACTCTGATGTTACACCCAGAATGTATGGGCCCGGCTCCTGCACGAGATCCTTGACGTGACGCGCATGAACGACGGGTACATACAGACCGCTCCACTCGTACACCCTGACACAGAAACGGACTGTCTCGGCTGCGATGGTGAGCATCGCGGGGTAGTGACTGGTGAAGATGATTCGTCGTGTGGGCGATACAGCAGCCTCTATCACACCCACAATGTTGGGAATTGAGAGACACGTGAAGAGGGGCCACATGGCGAAGTTTTGGAATCCGGTAGGCGAGGATGGGAACTGGTAGCACAGCGCGTAATCCTTCATGTCGATGCGGACCAGGTCGTTGAGGCGAGGAGCTGGGAAGCTGAGGATGCGTGAAACCTCCTCGGCATGGAAAAGGTTGGTAGCCTTATTCCAGTGAATCCACATGCCGCGCAGGTAGTCGCCGAGTAGGTTGTACAAGGGGTATCGGGAGAGGAAGCTCAGGCAGTACGGGATCCAGTATGTCTCGTCTGGGTTGTCGAAGAAGTCGGGCTCGATTCGCTTGCGCAGGTCGCGAATAGTCTCAGCGCGCTTCTCATCAGCGCGAGACCAGACGCGCAGTGCGATACCGTAAAGAGTGTGTGAGGAATCTTGCTGCAGGACGAAGGAGTGGTGTACGCAGTGCGGCTGGCTCCTGCCAGTGCAGATCTCGACGTCGTGGGGGAAACATGCCTGTGTGCGTGGTTAGTAGCGCGCCAACAATGACATTGTTGTATAGACGTACTCGCATGGCAGCATGAAGAGACCTCGCGATCTCGTTATCCTGCTCCAGTCTTGGACTGCTTCCCAGAATCTCAGGAAGCCAGAAGGTACCAACAGCACCCTTCATGTGGCCAATCTTGCCCTGAGAGGGCGCAGGCGCCTTCACCCATTGTGATGGCTCACGACCAACACCACACACCATGTAGGCATGGGTCAGGGTCTTGGGGCTCCGCGCGCCCTGCTTGACGTTCAGAGTCGATGGAAGCGGTTGGGTGATCCTCGAATGAAGCGACGATGTCCGGCTCGGGATGATGAGGCTGTGGTCGGCATTGTCTCTCGTGGGAGGACGCTCGCTGGCGCCTGTACGCGGTCGCAAACTTAAAGAAGGTGCCATGTTGGCGGATTCGATGTCGGTCCTATCGAGATGGCCGTTGCGGTATGGGTGTAGAGAACGGCAGGCGGATGAATCCAGCAATTATTATGACAGCTATAACTGTGAGAACATGAGGCGATGCGTGAAAGGTATCCGAAAGGCAACCCGCGAGAACAAGAGAGAGCGGACCGTGAGTACTATACGCACTCCGTCAATTGAGAGCTCCGAGGTCACCTTGCTGCGGGCAGTAGAGGAGGGTAGCAGCAAGGGGGAATCATGGCTTTTGGGGAGCTCTGCCGCAGCGCGCGGACTGGATGCTGGGGGTTGAACGACCCGAAGACTAGCATGGGTGGCTTTCACAAGTTTCGGTTCGAGGAAATGAGAAGCATATCCCTGCCCATTCGCAGGGTCCGTCTCGGAGCACGGTGCACGGCGCTGTCAGGGGCACTTTTCTTGAATAACGGCTCGCCCAACTTCCTCGAGCGGGCGCGACGGCAGCAAGGGCCGCAATCAAAGATACGGCTTATACACAGTACATTGTTATGTCGCCTCGCTCTTTGCACTGTTGTAACGTTTCCTGCAGCCACGTCCAGCAACCGGAGCTCTGGTACCACGACTCGGTCACCGAGAGTCCGCAGCGGCCTCAGCAGAGAATCCCCGCTGGTGGCAATAGCGCCATACGGACTGGCCTTATGCTGAATACCGCATTGGGTTGGATTCGAATCATTCGCACGCCTTGTGCACGATGAGCACGTCTGCAGCGTGCATCCTCGCATCAGCATGCATGAGCAGAGTTCCCGCACTTGCAGCTCGGACGGACCGCGAATGGAAGTGCTTAGAAATTGGCGAGGCAAACCCCTGACGGCTGTTGGCTATCGGTGGCTGCCCAGGAGGCGGTACATGAAGATCGCTCTTAGGCCCGCCGCCAGGCACGTTTGATCCTGCGTGGGAGTGCGAGGCCTTTCTGCAGAAGGTCCAAGACGCGCCGTCGAGCTGTCGACCAGATTCTTCGATCGGCTCCACAGTCCGGTAAAGGTGGTGGCCACGTATAGTAGCCTCGCGTGTCGTGGACCCTCTAGAACCAGACTTCTGAGCTGTCCGTTGAGAATTGCGGAGAGCTGGAATTGGTGAGGCTGAAACACCGGGCACTCAAGCTGCCTGGCAAATCGGGCGCCTTCGCCCAGGTTCGGTCAAGCTGACATGGACAAGACGTGTTGCAGCCGGACAGAGCGAGAACGACTCGATTGCCTCTCAACAGCTGTAGACGAGCGCAAGCGCATAATCGGCGCAGTCGACCACTTGTTTGATCTGCGCGTGGGTGGACCTCGATGCAATTTGGCGTGGAGAATACTCCGATGTCTTAAGGAAAGGGTTCCCAGTCGACCACAGCCCGGCGAGTGTGCTGGCGGCGTGCCACTGCTCCGACCATGGTTCGTCGAAGGCCACGGATAAGCCGCAAATTTCCATGTTTACAGGAATTTCGCATAGGGGTACAGAAACCGAGCAGATGGAAGCCGTCGCGACTGATCTGCACTAGATGGACGAAGCTGTGAACAGAGTTTTTGTGGTCGCGCTAGTCCAACCTCATAAACCTTCCTCGCTGCTAGCAGTCTTGCGTGCAGCGCGCAGCGATCTAAACCACGGTGCGAGATTGCTCGGAGAGTAGATCTGCAAGACAATCACTAAATCTCCTGCATTCTGGTGACGTTCCCCACCGGAAAGCGACGATATCTGACTTCAGCCACAACGCGACTGGCGAAAGTTTCCACCACGACCCATCATTGCCTTGCACGCCACACCATCGTCGCGTCGCTCAACAGCACCTACCGCCTGACCTTCCCTGCACCTGTTCACGCGTACGGCTATTCCGCTACCGTGCGAAAGTGACTTCCCTTCGTGCCGTCGCGCGAGATCCGATCATCTCAGGCTAGGTGTTGGCGATCTGATATCACGTTAGCCGTCTCCACTATTCGGGCGATATGACAGACGCAGTGTTGCTCAACGAACTATGCAGTATCTGGTATGTCTGACTAGTTACCCCTCCGTAGCACTTGTTACATCCCAAAAGTTCGATGTTCGCTAGCAATCGTCCTAAGAGTTGTGCCGCGTTCCTGTGACACTGGCTAGCGCAACGAAGCCGCGTCGGCATGCATGAGAGAGAAAGCTGACGTTTAATTAGCCATAGCAATAAATCCAAGTACAAATGTCCTGGGTGTGGCGCACGCACATGCTCGCTGCCATGCTACAAGCGTCATCAACAGAACGCACAATGCTCAGGGAAGCGCGACCCAACAAAGTTCATCAAGAAGTCTGATCTGGTGACCCCCAAGGGCGTTGATCACGACTATAATTTTCTTTCTAGCATAGAGCGGAACCTCGAAAAAGCTGAGAGGGTCGCTGGAACCACCGCTGAGAGCACTCCTCAAGATGGTCTGTCCAACAGGGAGCGAATGGGTGTTCAGTATAGCAAGCTTGAGCATGCTGCTGGCGTCAAGATCATGCGGGCGCCCAGAGGCATGAGCAGACAAAAAGAGAATAAGTCGCACATGTCTGCTACAAAGTAAGCCCCCCACCATCAACGCGTCCACGTAACACTGCTGATCTTTGTGTCCAGAAAGGCTACACGGAACATAGTATGGACAGTCGAATGGTTTGACGAGACCAAGAGACGCGTGCTCACCGAGACATCCTCTACACAGTCGATCCAAGATGCACAACCTTTCGTACAACAAGGCAGTGGTGCTAAAAGCAAGAAGAGAAAGCTGAACAACGAGGCTCCTGCCAGCAAAAGTTCTCAATCAAACACTCCACACCTACCTCAAAATGACGTTGCGCCTACTGCACCGGACCAAGACCAGCCAATCGAGCAGCATGAAGTCAATTCTGAGCTTCAGGTCAACAATGCGGGGCCAGAGGGAGTCACCCCCGGACGAGGAACCCCTGCTGCAGAAGAAAAACAACAACCCACCAAAAGACAAGCAGACATGGCCGAGACGCGTCCTGGAGATACTCGCACTGATGGGCAGTCCATGGGCAGCGGGCAACATAGGGTTTTTCTGCTAAAGCCCCGCACAAGCACGAACCGCCACGTCCTCATCCCTCTAGACCCTTCGCAATCGCTGGGTGAAAGCCTGCACGGCCGTACTATACTCGAGTTTCCGACTATCCACGTATTCCCTGCTGAGATGGAGAAGCTGCCCGAAGACTACATGTTGGAGGAAGAATACGCGAAGCTAGAGGGAGAGCAACAGAGAGAGTTTGATGAGATGATGCAGGAGCTCGATCCGGAGATCTTGAAACGGTTGAAAGAAGGTGAGGGGCACATGCCAGGGGACAGTAGCGGGGGAGGAGGTGACGAGGAAGTTGATAGTAAGAGGATACTAGACGTGCTCAAGCAGGATCTCGGCGGACGGTTGTAGAATGAGGGCCGAGAAGCGCAGCTTACTCCGCCGTTGATACTGAAAAGAAATCCAGGCATTGCATCACATACAAAGACGCCATATAGACAGGCATCGGAGGATTTCCTTTTGGTGCCGAAGCGCTGATGGCGCTTTTGCTACCATGCCATCACAGTCACATTCAACGTCTCCCTTTTCGAGCACTACTATCGACCCATTTCCATTGATCCAATACTCTTTCCAGCCACTAGAGACCAGGGTCTTGTACCCCCTCCTACCCCAATCGGAACGGTACCCTGTCTAGACATCCGGTACCCTGCCCATATGCTTGCTTTCCCTGAAGTCGTCATGCCTTGGACCCCAGTCGTGTTTGCTTTTACCACGCGCCCATGCGGGCAATGCGGGCAGACGCCATACGTCCCCCGGTGTCTAGTATTATTTCGGAGGTATTAGGCATTAGGATATACTAATTAATTTGTCTAGTCTCTATAGTATAATCTACTAAATTCTTCTCTACATATTCTAACTATAAATTCTTCTATCTATTTTACTACTTCTCTAGCTTATAAGTTAAGTAGTTAGTAATTTTAGTAGCTTAGATTATTATTAATATTTAGTAACTATAGTTATTAACTAATAATAATAGTTATAGCTTTAGCGTTAAGAGCTTTAATAGTATGTTAGAAAAGCGTCTTAAGCACTATTATTTTTTCTTTTACAAATAAAGTAACGTTGCTTAAGAAATATAAGATAGTATCTCTTATAGCGTACGCAGGTACTAGCTTAATAGTAATTACTTTAATATCTAATTAGTATAGGCTATACTAAGCTCTTAACTAAAAGATTATACTTAATATAAGTTAGTAATATAGGCTAAGATTATTCTTAACTATAACTATATTGCTAAACTTATTATAGCTAGAATAAGCTAGAGAGGTAAGAGGTGTTTAATTTATAGCGAATGTAATAATAATAGTAGAGATTTTATAGTAATAGAAAGAAGTTAAGCGCTTACGCAAAATTTCTATCTCTAGAAATAGGCAACTATAGTATTATAGAATTCGCACTTATAGTTCTGCTGCCTTCGCTCCTATAGAACACACACTGAAATTACCACTCGAAACCCCAACAGACACCTGGCAGACGCCATACGCCACCCGTCACGGCCGTTGACAGTGCACCAGCGTTTCACGTCGCATTGACAGCCTTGCTTTTCTTTTGCTGCTTTCGACTGTCTGCTTGGTCGGCTGTCAAGCCCTCGAATACTAACCACGTGTACGCCCAGACCGCTTTCAATCACCGCGCTAGTACCCTCACAGCGGCAACCCGTCGCCCCACTGCCTAGGCATCGTAGTCGTCGCAACCTCACCTGGGCACTATCAACGTCAACGTCACGATAACCAAGATGAGATGCCAACTCCGGGTGCATCCCCAAGCTGATTACCGATACCGACCCCGATAACGCGCTCATCACCAGGTTCCCCAGTCCAAACTGACACAGACACCGCCCTCGCCCCAATCACCCCATCTCGAAAACACTATCGAACATCCGCAAGGTCCCGTACCTCCGCGGGCAGCTCGAATCACGAATAAAGTTCAACCACACTCGCCAAACCATTCCCATCCGACGTGTCAACTCCGCGAAAATATGGGGAAAACAGGGTCCCCCAAACCAAGAACGTCCACCTCGTCATCCCACGCAAAAAACCTTAGAAAGGGAATTAGGCAGACTAGGATCGAGGATCATGCCTCGCTAAAGAACGAGGCGCAACACGGCATCTTATTTTTCACAGATCTTAGCGCGATTTCACATATAGCGTTTTCATGTGGGGTCGCTCTTTGTTGCTTGCAGGGCCGCGGCGGCGCTCCGCTGCAACTTCATGACTGAGGTCGCAGGTCGGGTTTGCGTACCGGTGCAACTGGGTCCAATGAGGCCGGCGGAGATGAGGGTACGTAGGATTTTTTGAGTTTTCCAGGACTCGGTGTTGGATGCGGGATGCCGACATCTCGCCCCGTGTGATGAGAGTCAGTTTGCTATGGCGTTATTTGCCTCGTGGGTCGAAGACGTACGATACCCCCGAGATTTGCTGTCGCTTCGATGGCTGCGATAGCCGTTTGTAGACGGATGGATGGTGGGGCTAAAAGGTAAGAAAGAAGGATTGGGGTTGTGCGTCGGAGATTGATGCTCCCTTCCACGCTTCGTTGCGCAATCGTCTGTGTTGCTAATTTGGGAATTACTGATCATGTAGCCCATGGTGATGGTGCCTCTTGGTGTACACTAGAAGTCGATTTCTCACAACCTTAGGTATCGCTCAACGCTCCTCAACACAACTGTCTTCAGTCTCAGGTTCCAATAACATCTGAAGCACGCTATCCAGCCCCAGAGCCAGCCCCTCGGGTGTCAGCCGCAGATACAGGGATCAAACGGTTTTTGTCATGATGGTATGCATGGAATATGTGAGCATCATGGTTCATGTAAGCTGCAACTGTGCCGTATCAAGAATTGGAAATCCCTTTCTATGATCCCTAGTCTGGCCCCAAAGATTGGGTATCTAGACCGGTGCTGTCATTAGAGCGAACGGGATATTTGGTATACATCCTGGTCTCTGGTAAGAATTTGAGATGTGGATATACATATAGTAACCATAGAGTTATCTGGGATTGTGATGTGCGCGGGTACAGCGGGTCATGAAACACAGCTTCTCATGCTATCGACCTGGGGAGAGAGAAACCATTGTCCAGTGTTTCTTAACGAGTAGATCCTACGCTGTGCATTGAGTGTCAGCCATGTGATGCTCCTGTTGTGTGCTGTGTCTGGAGACGCGTCGACAGTACTCCGGAGTAGAGTCCGTCAGTGAGGTTCAATTCGTTATCCAGCTCTGAAGTCAACCCGCGACGGAACTTCGGCCCTCGCTATCCGCTTCAGAGGCTCATGACCACTAAATGTGAAACTCCTACTTTTGCAACTCCAACAGTCCCTTACTCTGCAAGTACTCCACAATCTCCCTCACGCTATCCTCCACACTCTTCTGGTCACTCCTGATGTGGATCTCGGCGTTTTCAGGCGCCTCATACGGCGCGCTGATGCCGGTGAACTCTGGGATCTTGCCCTCCCTCGCCTTCTTGTACAGGCCCTTGGGGTCGCGCGCCTCGGCGACTTCGAGAGGCAGGTCGACGAAGACCTCGACGAAAGCGAGTGGGGAGTCTTCGCCGGTGGTCACGGCGTGGAGGTCGCGCGCTTGCTTGCGGTCGGCTTTGTAGGGGGAGATGAAGGAGGTGATGGCGATTGTGGAGGAGTCGGCGAAGAGCTTTGCTACCTGGAAGAGAAACAATGTTAGCTGCTGTACTTCTTCGAGTGATAGATCGCGCATATCCACGTACCTCAGCGATCCGGCGAATGTTCTCATTTCGGTCCTTCTCTGTGAATCCAAGGTCCTTGTTCAACCCAAATCGTACATTGTCGCCATCGAGACGGTATGCCGCGAATCCCAGGTGCAGCAGATGCTGCTCAAGCGCCGTCGCAATTGTCGACTTGCCAGATGCGGAAAGACCGGTGAACCAGATGGTGAAGCCCTTTTGCTTGCGGAACTTGTTGCGCTCGTCGCGCGAGAGAGACGGGTGCCATGTAATGTTGCTGTCCAAGAATTAGTTTGTGTGTTCAGAGTTGCGCGCAGTTGGCGGGGTAGTCATGGTGGGGCTCACGTTGCCATTTTGTATGTCGAGACTTGAGATTTTGGTTTTGATGGGGGGTATGAAGAGGTTGAATAAGGGAAGTGGAAGTTTGCTGCAGATTTAAGATGTTTTTAAAGTGTCAATTGACGGGCGGATGGCTGATTGGTATCCTCAACACGATATTTGGGTCCTCAGCAAACATCGAATTCTTTTAGCGTAGATGACGTGCGAAGCTTGACCGACGCTGCAGGTGGAGCGGGTAAGGCTGAGAGTGGGTAAGATGCCTCATGTAGGTAACAGCAGTTCCTGCCAAAGTATAGCGCGCGAGACATGCTCCGATTGTGCCCGTGGGGCGTACATCGATTCCAAAGTGCTTCCAGAATAAATCTTGCATACAGTAGCCGGCTACACGGCAAAATTTTAGATCCAACTACATGCCCTTCAAAATCCATTCCCGCCAAAACTCGCAGCCCTCGCTCTATGCCTCCTCTCCCTCTCTCTATTCTCATCCCCAAAACCATGTCCAGTCTGCACCTCCCCTCTACTCCCACTCTTCTTCAAGCCCCCAGTACCTGCAGGTAAAACAGGATCAAAAGGCTTCCTCCTCCTAACAAGCTGGTATCCTCTATCCAATTCAACTTCAATCGCACATCTAATCTTGAGTGCCGTCACTGCTGGCCATACACTCCTTTCTCCCTTCAGTATCCAGTAGTCGATCGCCTCTTTGGTAGGGTTCTCGAGCAGCTTGAAGAAGTCGCTAGGTGTGAGTTCAGGTACCAGCGTGAGACTTGGGCCTGGGATGTTTTCGTCTAGGAGGAAACGACGGATGGAAGGGGGGAGTAGACCCAGTTCATCCATTTGTTGTAATCTGTGCTGTATCTCTAGGACTACGAGACGCAGTATAGGCATGCTGAGGCGCCAGCGTCCGTCTTGTTTGGGATTTGGATGGTGTGAGTCTGAGCGTAGGAAAGGTGCGAGGTATGGTCGGGCTTGCGAGACGATGAAGTGGTTTACGTTGAAGAGTTCGCCGATGCGATGGAGCGGGGATTCGCGGTCTCGGTACGAAGCGTGTGTGTAAGGGCGGAAGGTGGTTTTCGAAGCTGGAGACCAAGGCACGATGTTGCCTTCCTCGTCTTTGCACATCATTGTTACGGAATGGTACAGAGTCGAGGAGGCCGTGGCGTTGGAGGCAAGTGCTGCAGACCAGATGAGCTGGGAATGTTAGCAGCTGCTTCGAGATGGAGAAGGAGCGGACTGCGTACAACATTGGGAGCAGTAAGGTAGTTCAGAAGGTTCGGTATGCCTCCACCACTAGTAGTTGTGACGGTGATATTCAGCACCCTCTTTGT